CGCGCCGGGGGGGGGCGGCAAACTTAGGAAAGGCATGGGAAAAGAAAAAAACCCGAAATGCACTAATGTTAACATAACTACAGCTACTACCACCACCACTAGCAGTACCTATGTTAATGATAACATTAATAACAACAACAACAAGTAGTAATAATACTAACCATATAGTCAGGAAGAGGGCTGGCAGCACTCATGTTTCCTTTTGTAATTATTAGAATAAATTCCCTAACCCTGGATAACAAGAATATTTCCTAAAATGTTTCGCTGTTTCCATCCCTTACTGTTATTTGAAAATCAGGAGTTGGCCACATAGAGATAAACTGCAGGTGGCACTAGTTCTCTAATCAGTGCCATTAAACCATTGCAGAAGAAGAGTCCTCTAACACAACGAGAAAGAGTGTTTGTTTTATGTAACCTAACCCTAACCCTAACCCTAAGGGCTGATGTTTTATCTGCAGCAATTTTTTGTCTCTTAAGTAACGAGGACACTTCATGTACGTCACAAATTATCTGTTAAGTCTGTTTCCATTGCTGTTAGTCACATTTTTTTCAATACACCAACAATTCCACCTGAGTCAAATGAAAAATGTTTTTGCAATATTTGGACTTTTGCTGAAATTTATGCTGTTTCAACTCAGTTTTTTTATCGTGCAAAAATTTAAAATGCACATAAAACCAGTAGATATGTTACTCCATCATCACCATATACCATATTATATAGAGCAACTGGGACATACAGGTTTTTCTTTATGTTCCAGGAATATGGACGTCTCAATTCAAAAATTTGGGTATGGAACATAACCTTACTCAACAGTATGCATATGTGGTTCATTCCATATGAGCAATGTTATACACACAGGTGGTGTTTAGCACATACCTGTGTGACATTACATATGTATGTATGCTGCACTACAATAGCTACGTATAGTTCAAGTGGATTAAAGCATTCAAATGTGTTATGTGACGTTATAAGTGAAGTTAGGCTTAGATGTGTATGAATCATTGTTTCTTTTCAGTTATAAATGTGGTACAAAATGATTTATTGAGAATAAGTTTGGTGCAGGCACAAACTCAACAATCCATGTGGTCCAAGACGGGATCAGTTCCAGGCACTTTTGAACCTGCCCGAGCCGACAATGTGTATTAAAGTAGCTGTTAAAGCCCTACTCAGCGATACTCTTATCTCCTCGAGTCGGTCAACCTCAAGGTCTGAATCGCGTCAGGGTGCTTGGACCGCATTGTACTTGCTTGCAAGCCTAGTTTAAACCTTTAAACTATTAACTTCTACTTTTTTTTCCAAACCATTCCTTTTCTAGCAGCCTTTAGCAACACCTTTAACATTACCACCACAAACATCACCCGAGACCAAGTTCTGGCCAATCCTTAGCCACAGGTTCACTAGAAGGCTTACTGTTTCCTATCAGCATGTGTTTCCTTTGTCAACTATAACATAACCAGTATGAATGTAACCAGTTTGAGTTTTGAGTGTAAACCCATTTTCAACTCTCCACACCAGTCTTTACTGGAGCGCTTTGAGGAGACTCTGGCTGATGCGGCACAGGAGGAGGAGGATGAAGCTGATTACGATGGGACAAAACAGCAGCCTGTGAACAGCCAGGCCAGCAGGGGATGGAACTTGGACCAGGAGGTGGACCAAGAACCCTTGATATCAGCAAAATCCCAATTACCAGCCGAGGGTCACAGCAGAACCCAGAGTCAGAGGAGCCGTCTGCAGGACCTGCTGCTGACCGCCAGGAAACGGGCCTCTGGCTGCTTTGGAGCCAGGATGGATCGAATAGGAAATGCTAGCGGTCTGGGATGCAACAATGGAAGAGGTAAGACTGCAGCATGACAATCCAATTATGATTTAGATGAAGGATACTGAAGCATAGGGGTCAATGGCTTGTGCTGGGTAGGTGGTCATATTTTGGAAGTCAGATTTGCAAATGTCAATGGATTATTTACTATAAAAACATGTATTGGCTAAATATTTTTCATCAAAGATAAGAGATGAATAACTTTTCACAAGATACCATACCAAAAATAAGAAATCTTTGTATGATTGACTCTACATGCAGTTATAGAACTCTGGTTATTATTGGTCCCCAGAGGATTTTTGGTTATCTGACATTCTGATATTGTCCTGACCTTTCCTTACAATCCCGTTGAAATTCTCTCCTGTTTTTCATCAAGTAGTTGTTCACATCATGTAACTCTGTGGGATGTAATGAACACTGCAGCCTCTAGAGGCTACTAACATGAAATAAATATGCACACACTACATGACCAGTTGTTTATAACAAATCCTGTTCCTTTTTTGTGTCGTTTTCCCTTCAGGGTAGTCGGACACTTTCCTGGGACACAGGTTGGATTATAGTTTGATCTCCAACTGGGAACACAACCAAATAGATTGCATATGTATGATTTTGCATTAGTCACAGTTCAGCTGTGTGTGTATGTATTTCTCTGTTTGAAGTCACAAATGGGCTGCTTGTCAACTGTGTAAAGAATTCTATAGAGTCCATTATACACCGTGTAACATTTAAGCCCTAAAAGATGAGTTACTAAAGTGCTAACAAATAAATAAATAAATAAAGTCTTTTTTTCAGATGTAGAATTCAGTTTTTTTTGTATGCCTGCACCATTGGGTATTGTGCCATTGTAAATCCAGAATTATCAAGTTAAGGGGCAAGTCATTGTCACAAATTTGTATTTCAACTGATGGTGATTGGCTTCCAACTAGTAGAAGAAAATGTAATACTATATCGCTTCAGCTTTGTTTGCCTTTGATATTGTCTTTGTGTATTCGGAATTCTGCTCTGTATGACGGGAACTCCATTTGATCTTTTGTTGTTACAATGGCAATTTACATAACACCTCATGGGGGCTCTGGATGAAAGGTCATGGGATCACCAAAGTCATTAGGATACATTCTCTGGGAACCATAAATATATGTAGAAAAATTCATGACAATCCATCCAACATTTGTTGAGATATTTCATTCTGGAACAAGTGGTGGACGGACTTTGTGGTCACATTGCTAGTGTTTCTAAATGAAGTCAAGTTAGTACATATAAAATAAAAAAGTAAAGAAGAGAGGGCTGATAATGAAGCCTCAATGCTCAACACGTGTATTCTTGAATCTTTACAATGTTCAACATTTAAACCACATCTCTCACCAAAAGCATTGCTGAATAATCAGGAATAGAAAATGAATGGACAGACGGAAGCTACTTTCATGTAATGCTTCTAACTTGCTGTCAAATACACATATATTGTTGAGAGAGGAAGGAAGTGATTCATGCAGGAAATATGGCTGTGATTCACCCATTAACTATTGTTGTCTAAATGCATTTGTCAGGCAGCAAGAAGGAGACGTCACTGTGGGTTATGACAAAGTTATTGACACACTGTTCTGTCCAGTTACATTATGGAGATAATAGAGATCAATTAGACTCCGGTTATATACCAGTGAAGCATTTCACCTGATGGCAGCAACCAACCGCACAGGTGTTGAAGTAAAGCAACCTAAACTGACCTGAGTTTTTGTTCTTTTTAATGTCTTTGGAAACGTGCAGGACAGAACAGAGGGTTGAGGCACTGCTGATAACAGTTGGATCCCGGTGATGAGGGCAAGTGCAGGTTTTCTCTCCTGTGGAACATAGTGACCAGACCACTCACTGGGCTCCATATCGATGAGAGTTACGTTACCGCTTCAGACAATGTGGAAATTACACTGCAGAGATCTATCACAGTGGTTCCCCAGCATGATTCATTCTCTAGCTGTACGGCTGTCATGTTCACTCTCTGGAGTAAGTCTGAACCTGAAAAAGATTGGTAGAAATAAATGTACAATTGTCAACCATATTGCAAAATAAGTTCTATAAAATACATATTGATCAAAGCCGTACTTCATGAGACGAAAAGTGCTGTGATTATTATTGCCTTTTTATTTTAGCTTTTTGCTGAGCAGCAGCACTTGAACACTTTTCTTTATCACAGAGCACCCTCATGTGGAGCTTTTCATATTCATATTTTAACTGTATTGGTATCATTATAGGCATTTCTTTTTCAAATTACATTTAAAACTATCTGATTTTAGTCAACAATGACATCTTTATTTCATGTCAAGTTTATTTCATAATGTCACTTTTCATGGCAGTGGTGTTTTTTTCAACTTGTCACATGTCCTCTGTCTCTTTCTTAACAACTGCTACCAGATGTAGTCAGTAAAAGCAACTTTATTATTACATGTCATTTATGATATATATATATATCATAAAGATATTATTGATATTATATTAACATTCTGCAGAGGTGAAATATAAAATAAACTACTGTAAACAAAAAAATACGAAATTAAAATACGAAACATTGATTCAAATTAAATAAAAAAGCTTTGGTGGTGATAAACTTATAGAGATCTATCAGCTGGAAATATTTTAGGTTAAAACAGCATGTCCACTGTTGTGGATCAAATGGCCATTTTAGTGTGAAAAGAATTGTCATTTTAGTTTGCAGCTCTTTGATTTGTGAATGCTGCCAACTCTTTGATGATGTTGTAGCCAATGTACTTGGAAGTACTGCATTGGATTCCAGTCTGCACGGGTTGTGGGTCAGGAAGTACAGGTAGCACAGGTGTGAATCTTTTATAATGGAAAAACACCAATAAATGACAGGTGATAACAGGAATAATAAACCTCACACAAATCTAATTAGACAAAATATAGTCAGGTTGTAGTGTATCATTGGAACAATTCCAGTGTTATGGATGTGATATGGTCTCCCACTGATCACTCATAAGCCCAACATTTGCATCATTGAGGCAAATTGCATTATATTTTACAACTGGGAAATCTTTAAACCTCAGGAACACTGAAGAATATCACTGATACATACATATGTCTGCATTATGGGTGTTACATTACAGAGAATTACCTATTTATAGTTGTCACAAACCAGGCCCACAGCCATGACAAAAGAGGGAGATTATTAACAAATGATTTATTAACTTAAAGGCAACATAAGAGGAAAGCTACTAACAATGGTGTGTGGTCAGTCATTTCAGCAGTGTAGGTGAGTGCACGAGTGGAAAGTGTGTATGCAATATTGTATGGTGACACAACATTGCATCATCATACAACAACATACAACCCCCCAAAAGACGTAGCTCCCACAGGATCTCCGTCACCACAACAAAACTAAAAAAACTAACCAGCAAAATAAATGTTATATCAAAGCTTACCACCCTCACAACCTGCCAGTCCACAAGCCATTCCCACAGCTGCCACTCAGCCTAGAGCAATTTTTTAAGGAATGCATTGAGAGAGGAAATAACAGGATATGTTTCAACTACTCAAAGTGGAGCTTGCGTGAGTGCATCTGCAACCACATTGTCACAGCCTTTAATGTGTTGAATGTCCAGATCGTGAGATTGCAGGAACAGAGACCATCTAAACAACCTCTGGTTAGGGCATCGCAGGGCCACCCAGACCCCACATAGATTGTGAAATGCTGCAGGGCCCAGATCAAGACAAGGGCTTCCTTCTCAACAACAGAGTAATTTAATTGATGCCAGTTGAATTTCTTAGAAAAGAAACTGACTGCTCTGTCATCTCCCTGCTCATCTTCCTGAATCAATACCTACATGGCTACATAAAAGGATGGTCAAAACGGGGAGCAGCCAGCACTAGTGCTGAACACAAAAGAGACTTAACATTACCAAAAGCTTCCAAGCACTCGGTTGACCACACAAATTGAGCCCTGGCCTTCAGCAAGTCAGTAAGAGGCGCCACAACAGAAGAAAAAATCTTACAGAAATAACGTCAATACCCTACCAATCCAAGGAATCTCATGAGCTCTTTTTTAGTGGCAGGCCGTGGAAACTGCTAAACTGCCAAGACTTGGGCATGCACCAGAGCTACATGCCCCTGTCTGACCACCCGACCAAGGTAAGTTACCATTGCACAGGTAAACTCACACTTTGCTAGATTTACTGTGAGCTTCACCTCTGCCAACCGGTTAAACATGTGTTGAGTGAAGTTGTCATCACTCAAAATGATGTGTTACCAATATAATGTTTTCCTGTTGTTGCTCATTGGGGCTGCTTTGAAGTTTTGAGGCAGTTCTTCACCATTGCTCAGTTTTGTTTGTTTGCATATCTATTGATAGTGGTTTATCGGGTGGTAATGACCATTTTGTCAAGACGTTTGTTGTGTAAATGTTCCTAAAACAGGCTTGTATTCCTTTGCCATAGGGTTTAAGACATCGGGGAACATTGTCCATCATCATATGTTGAAAGGACAAAAAACTCTCTCCAAAACATTTGTGCCACTTTGATTTGTATTGTATTTTTTTGATATGTACACTACACAGTCACTAGACTGGACTTCTCCTGTACAGTCACATCCACATCTGGATCAGTGGATGAAGATTTTAGCTCAACTGTTTACAATGTCACAACCCTCCATTATAACTGTTGGGATCTGACCATGTGTGACCATCAGAGTTCATCCTGATTCGAGTTTGAGAAAGACCAAACCCCCACTCACTGCAGAAGTGAAGAAGCTTTGTTTCTTCAGAGAGAGAAGCGCATTTCTCCTCTCCACCCAAATCCATCGCGCCGCTCGGAGCCGCGCTGCCTGAGTTCCGCCGACAACTCAGAAGGACCGCCTCAATTACCACGATTGCAACTCACCGTGAGAGAACAGATTCTGGGCAGATTTAGATGTTTGGGTGATTGTGTTTTATTATCTTATTTTGTGTTGCTTAAGTTACTGTCATTTTTATAACGTGGTGTATGCTCAATAATCGCCGACACTAACGATCGCTAAGATCGCTGGTGTTGTGTAGAAGTTACTGTGTATTTCATGCCGCAATTCATGTTGAGATAGTCGCCGCTAGTGAGTTCGGAGGTTGTTTCTCATTGGTTCAGAGGTCAGAACCGCGGCTGTGACAAAGAGTCGCCAGCTCTTCTCCTCTGGCAGAGAGAGCAATCTTCCAAACTCCAGCATGGCGAGGAGGATCTTAATCTTTTTGGAGGATTTATTTTGTTTTGTTTGCTTTCTCTCTTCTTTTAGTAACCCACACACACATATAGCTTTAAGCTAATGTTAGCTCTGGCGTTGAGCTAACGGCTACAGGCACGTGGAGACAATGAGACTTTTATTGTCTACCGCCATTTTGAGTCTCGCGCATCTTGTGGTCTCGCGAGAGACGTCGCCACGTTTCAGATTACGTCACACGTTGTGTGAGCTGTTGTCCCGCCTTTTTTCCTACACACACACCCACTGCATGCACATATGTGGCCTAATTAAAAGGATGAGACCAGACACTAAGATACATTTATATTTTATGTGGGTCTTTTATTTCCCCCGCCTGCACTCTTGGAGTACAGCGTTAATTAGTCAAATTTTAAAAGGTACAGAACAATTGACAGCAAAATTAAACAATTGCTTTTTACTCAATTTAGGATTATGTTAAGGTCCGAACTTCTGAACACAGAGAGAAATCGCCCCCCTTTCTGCAGTCATGTGCTCTCAACCGCCTCCAAAACACAACAGCAGGTTTAAGTCAAAATCAAATGGATTTATTATCCAAGAAGCATAAAAACAG